TTGGTTTTGTTTGAGTTTTGACATTCAAAGTTGATGAATTATTCATTAATTTGCCAACATTGTAAAACTTATGATCATTCACAAATCTTTGCAAAGTGTCAAATTTTCTAATGTTGTCATATTTGTGAACAAATTTATCATTATTTTTCTTTGGAATTTTGTCAACAAAATGTATTGGTTTGTGGAAACTTGTATCCTTTTGAAATTTTGATGATTGTTTCTTTGAAATTTGTTCGCTTTCAACTTTTGGTTTATCATTAGACACAACTTGCCAAAAGATTGCTTTTCTTGCTTTTCTTTTTGAAACATTATTTTCTGTTGAATACTTTCCAACCATCAATTTAAATTCATGAGAATTTAGTTTCACTTCCATCTTTGGTTTTTCATCTTTTTTAAAAACTTTGTTTTCTTTTTGTTGTTTAACCACCCATTTTTGCAATGATTTTTTACCATGAAAAACATAAGAATTTTGAGTCAACTTGTTTTCTACTATATTTTGATTTGCAAAGAAACCTTCAGTAGTTGACCTTTGATTATCATTTTCAAACATTTTGTTGAATTCAGGTTTAATTTTCTCAACATTTCCAGTTGTGACAACAACTTGATTTGGAAAGATTGTGTTATCTGTACATGTAAAATTTGGATAAACCATAGTGTTAGTTTCCAAGTAATGTGCACCTTTGTCATTAAGAATTTTGTCGAATTCTTTTGTATCTCCAAACACTTGATTAACAACAACTCGTTGAGGTGTTTCATGTGAATCCTTCACTTCTTCTTTGTCTTCATCAGTGTCATCAGTCTTCCAGCTTTCAACTTCCATATTATCAAAGTCACAATGTTGCGAAGTAGAGGGTTTATCATTTTCATCCTTTACTATTGAATCAACTATAATTTCTTTACCTTTGACCTTAGATGTGATATTAATGATTGACAATTTAGAACAATCAACCTCTTCTTCCTCTTCGATCTCACTGATTTCACTCATATTATCTGAATTGTCATTGACATCAGCATAATTGAGTTGAGAATCAAGAGTTGAATTTTCAGTTTTCTTTAAGATTTTCACTTGTTCATTCTTTATCAAACTTTCATTGACAATATCAATCAACTCATCAGCATTCAAGAATTCATCAATTTTGACAATACCATATGCAAATCTATCATTAGGTATTTTGTCAAGATGAGCAATTGTGTTTTCGCAGTCATAAGAAACAACATCAACTTTTTAGCGTTCATATTCAAAAAAAGGTAAAAGTTTCATATGTTGTTCTTCGCTTATTTCAGATGAATGATGTAAAGCAGTTAACTTCGCATACAAACGTTTAGCAGAGTTACAATATATTTTTCTTTGTGCTAGCAACAATCTAACTTCTTTATCTAGACTGTTCCTATCACAATTTACATTTTCCATTTGTAGTTCATGTTTATCTACTCTGCTTCGTTTTATTTTTTAATGCTCTTCTTGTTTCAACTAGTTGCAATTTTAGATTTTGTGCTTCTGTACTAGCAGACACAATAACAGAATCAAAATAAGCAACAGTATCATCAAATGAAGTTATTTCAACATCATAAGCAGATAAAGGAATATTAAATGATTCAAGAATAGCACGTACCTTGGTGTTCATTGGAGATTTATCAGTGGACTTGGACATAGAGCATCATCCAGAAACTTCCTCTTCACAATTATCTTCATAGCTTGCGAACATTACACCATGAGTTGGATGCCTCATTTCTTCACCATCAGATGAAGACCAGATCTGATAAGTTCCACTTTCTTTCTACATCAGACTCCCCTTTCGCAACTAATGACAAGCCTTTTGCCATTGCGCGCACCTCCTCAAGCTTTTCTGAGTAGTAGGCGTCATCCTTGATTTTGATTTTCTTCTCCTCTTTCTTTCTCAGCATACAATCAGCTGCGAAGTGATTTGCCCCATTGCAGTAATGACAATAGATTCCAGAATCACCTTTTAGTTTCTTCTCTTCCTTCGCATCTTTCTGCTTTTCTTAAACCTTTTCCAATTTATTCTTTTCCTCACCTCCAGCTTTTATGAAACCACTCTTCGCATCATTTGACTTCCCTTTTGGATTGAAAGGCTTTTTGAAAAATTTCTTAACTCTGTTGTTTGAATAGAATGCAACTGCTTCATCATCAGAGTTCATTAAGAAACCTTCATTGTCTGATTCTTCTTTTTCACCAGCATCAATTTCAGTAACCTTTGAAACTAAAGCCAAAGGTCCTCCTAGACTCTGTTTTGTTTCTTCAAGCATTTCTGTAACTTCGCTTTCATAAATTTTCAGTTGGTTGTAGAGATCATTCAAGGTGGTTGTATCAAAACTTTGCTAGTTCTTTATCATCATACTCACACTACGCCATTCTTTGCGAAGACCCATGATGAATGTCAGATTGAATTCCATAAGAGATCTTGAGATTCCATACCTGCTGCAACGATAAACAAGCTCATTCAAACAATCATAGTACTTTTCAATTGTTTCAACATCCTTTTGTCTGAATTCCTTAAGTTCAACAAGACATTGCTTAACAGAATTGATCTTTGTCTTCTCACTTCCTTGATATTTCTCTTTCAGTGTGATCCAAATATCCTTGGTTGTTTTACAACTACGAATGTAATTGTAAACCACAGGAGGCAAAGCACCTCTTAGCTCCCTCATACATCTTTTCTCATTCTTTTTCATGCGATTCTGTTGTTCAACAATGTCAATTGAAGAAGCAGATGATCCAATTGTTTGAACATTTTCAGGAGGTATAACTTTTCCACTAATACAATTCCATAGTTCTTCATCAATTCCATTTAATTAATCCTCCATCCTATCAGCCCACCGATCATAGTATTCATGGATTAACATTGGAATTTTGGTTGAAAAACCAAGTAAGTGAGAGAAAGAAGTCATGGTGTTCATGTTGAAGTTCGCCATTGATGAACACGAGAAATTTTTTGAAAGCTTGAAAACTTGATGTATTCGTGAATTGATCAAACGAATTGATCACTGATTGCTAATCGATCACTCGACTAAACAATTTAAATGCAAAATCGAATCAAATCTGAAGATCAAGAGAAATTTTCGAAACCAAAATGCGCGGAAAATTTTCAGTAATGTTACTACTCAAAAAGCAAATGATTTTAAAACGAAAATCAGATCAATGCAGTTTGAAATCCTGCTCTGAAACCAATTGATGAGAATTGTTATCGAGATTTAGAATGCAATCATGATTGTATGAATGAAAAGTATGAACACAGGAAGTAAATATTAATCAGATCTTATATTGATGAAGAACTGATTACAAAATAAGCAGAGAGAAATTGCGAATGATTAATGAATCACTCGTGCATTCAGTTTCTCTACTTCTAACCTCAGTCCCTATTTATAAGAAACCTGAGTGTACAAAAGTATACTAAGTCCTGAACTATAAGTTTCGCACAAATGAAGAATTAGTAAAATAACTAACATGCGAAACAAAAGAAACAAACATTTCGACTTTTACAACATTTAGTCTCTACAATATATATATATATATATATATATATATATATATATATATATATATATATATATATATATATATATATATATATGGAAATGATCAAATGAGAACGCCTAAAAGGTTGAGAACGCGAAAACAATTGTGAACCAATCATCATATAAGGGCATAAAAGGAATTTTACAATATAATTAATTATGTATGATTAATTAATTAATTCCTATAATCATGGGATTTAATACGATTAATAGATTTTTTACCCAAATATTAGGAACTTATATAATCTATTTTAAATTAACAAATCAATAAAAGGATTTTAAAAAACGTTTTTAGCATAATTTAAAAAAATGTTATTTATTTTATCTTTAAGTTTTTTTTACCAACCACATAAAAAATAATGACGCATTAATCATTTTATCCGAATATTAGTAATCATGCATGAATGAATATATATTTGTAGTCATATGAAGCCGGTAATAATCTTGAATGAATATATGAATTAATTTATATTCATAAATGAATAAAACACAATTAAACAAACATCACCATAAAAACATCTAAATATGAATTGCTTCAATCATTAGTGAATATACATCTAATCTTATGAATACATTTAAATACACAGTTAATGACTAATAAATACACATTTAGTCATAAATGAATCGAAAACATTGTTAAGAGACAAAGAATTTCTAATATGGCATCGACTTTGGCTTCCTCGGTTAAAGAGATTGATTCGTTATAGATATCCGATGGGACACAGAGGCGTGGTAGTCTGGCGATGATTTTTCTCAGACCGCCTTAATCTTTTATGTCACCCGGCTTCCCTTTTCCATAGCATTCTTTCTATGTGTATATATATATTTTTTTTCTGATCAAGCTATTGTATCTGTATCAACATAAAAACCCAATATTGATAAATGAATAAGACATGAGTGAAAAAAATAATGTAATATAATAAGCCAAACTATCATATTCATTGTTCATAAATGAATAATGTGTTAGTTAAAAAAATGAGACATTTGACATTGTATTCATATAAGATTATAATTGAAATTTTATTGATAAATTCACATAGTCATATTTCATAGATGAATAAAACTAGATTCATCTATGAATATGACTAAATGATGAACATGAATCACTCAAGATTTAAAGAAACCAACAATCAAACACTTGGTGTGCATGAAGACATTCATCCAAAAACCCATTTATCAGACATAAAAAGGAAAAGAAAATGGTATTCAATAAGCAAGAACCTCTTTTCTTATCATAAGAAGCCCAATTGCATATTCATTGTTATGTTTATGTTTCCTATGCCACAACATGCCAAGAAAGACCCAATTTTGGTATATATTGGACACAACATAAAAGCAATTTCAAAAAAACATTTGCAGAGGCTATCTAAATATTGAAAAGAAACCAATGAAATTGAATCAGATGGTAATCACAAGCTAGCACAGGAAAAACACAAAACCTCGGTACAAAAAGAGGCACTCATTTAAATAACTAGATTGTCTATATCTTTACCTGAAAATGTACAAGTCATAATTATTATTATCATGATTATTAGTTGGTGGTTAGTAAGACCTTTAAGACATACCTTTTGATCTATTTCTTGTCGTCTTTTCAGCTTCAATATTTTCTAAATGAGGATCAATTAATAAATCCAATTTCACCGGCCACAATGCAACCGCAGATGATGTTTGTGGCATACATACAAAACTTGTAATCACATCATCAAAATCATAACCCCCCTCACTTCCATATAACCACCCCTTATTGATCGCACCAACAAAATTAACGACACCTTTACTTGAATCTGAAGAGGGACATCAACGGCACCTTTACCCTAACCCTAGCACCGATCTTCGCTGGACTTTCTTCTTCTGAAGCGGAAGCCGATGTCGGATCGTCGATGATTGTTGTGGAACTGGAATCCAATGTCGTTGATTTGATACGTGGATTCAAACCTGAAGTTGGGGTAAGACGACAGTGGATCGATCGATGGGAAGAGAGGGAATAAAAGGGAACTGATTTCATTGAGAAAGGCGTTTATTTTGAAACCTTAGAGAGAGAGAGAGAGAGAGAGGGGGGGGGGAGATAAAGATACGGGATTATGAAAGGAAAGAGGAGAGAGGGTAAGAAATTGTAGGAAATATGTAAATTTGCAGTTCCTATTATGCCCTTTTGGCAATTTAAAAGTTACACTTTAATGCCTGTAGTTTTAGAATTTTTCATAAATTGCCCGTTTAATAATAACCTTAGATCTAAATATTTAAATGGTCCAGATCTGTTCTCGCGTTTTCAACATTTTAGGTGTTCTCATTTGATCCTACTCATATATATATATATATATATATATATATATATATATATATATATATATATATATATATATATATATAAAAGAGTTATGTGACATAGACCTTGGTAATTATTCAAAATAAAAAAAAGGAAATTAAAAGTGAATTTAATACTGATTAAACAACATTTTAATGCATAATTATTGTCCCAGTTTAGAATGTAGAGAATAAATATAATATAGTTTTAGTCAATACCTTCCTTAGTAAGAATTAAGAAACCACAAATAGAAAGAAATGTATATTATAATTTTTTATATTAAAAGATTTAAAATAGTAAGACAAAATATATAATCTAGTTTGACTACTAGATTGGATTCTTTGAAACTTGATTAAATTTTAAAATGTATAGTTGATTTAATGATATAAATAGCTATAACTATATAAGAGTTATACAAACTTAACATCCACATTCCCTTTTGTTGACGATGCAATTAAATGTGAATGCAATATTAAGAGGGTGTTTGTTGTTTATTTTTTATTTCCATTATAATAAGTTAAGTTTAAGTGGTTGGATAGGAATCTTTAAAAATCACATTTTTTGGTAGGGATACTTTGAATAAGCTGATTTTAATAAACATCTCTCATTATTTATTGATTATTTTAATAAGCTAATAAGCAATAAGATAAAAAGCTATAAGCTAATTTATCAAACACCCTCTAAAAACCTTACGAGAGCTTTAGTAGAGAAATGAGATATTGACAAATATAACAAAAAAAACCAACATTGAACAAATGAGATAATGATAAATATAACTAAAAAACCAACATAATAAAAAAAACTTTTGATACTTAAGTTTAAAAACATTTTATTACGACGGGAAGCTATCAACATGCTGCTGTGCACACAATTCATCGTCAAATTTCAATGTCAAGGCCCTCAATTTTAAGTTTCCCCAATTTCGGTTTATTTCAATATTTTGTAATGGCAAAATAATATATTTCCTTGATTTCTTCCTTTTCCAAGTTTATGTTAGACCTTCATTAGAGAAAATTAATTTCAGTTGTAAGTTTCTCAAATTTGGAAATATTTGTTAAATTTAGCTCCACTATATATAATAGAATTTTGTAAGTTTTCTTTAATTATCTTAGAAATTAATAAAAATTCTCCCGTTACGATATTGGAATACTTTTATTTTTGTATTTCCATTGTGCGACATGCATTAAGAAGCTTAATATATTTCTAGATGTCCCTTGAAAGATGGATTCCATCACTGACACATAAGAGTTGCCATTTGGCTTAGTTGAGTTGGTCCTTAAGTGACGTGTTTAAGATAGAAAAGTAGATCCGGATCAAGGCTTGAAAATGATAGTGTGCATATTTTATTTTCTCTCAATTGTAAGTTCTCTAATAATCTAATGGAGTTCATTACTAATCATTTTCCTGATGATAGAGGCTTAATAGGATTTTGAATAACCAAACTCATAATTTTATCAATGGAATCAATGAATATCCAACCTATTTGTAATATTATACATTACACATTATTATGCATGCCACAAAAATATTATCCATAAAATATTACATTAATCATATTTTCCTTAATACTTAAAATCCTATATAAGAAGAATCAAATTTTAATTAATATTTAAAATAAAATTGATTAAATAAACAAAGATGCATAAGACTGATTCATCTTCAACAATTGCACGTTTGCACTTTAAGTCGTATTCAAACTCAGAAAATAAAAACTAGTTGCACTTTATGTCGTAAGGAGACATGAACAGATTGAGGTGTACGTATGCATTTCATCAAAGAAGAAAGTGTAGGTTGAAAAGAGTTTGTAAGGTCATTAACTATTGGTAATATTTTTAATAATAACAGAGTCTTTTTGAGTTACCCTCATGACCTAATTAACCAAAATGAATTTAGGAGAAATTAGTTTATTAATTTATGTTGGTTTGATAAATTAATCAGAAACTATTTTGGAGTTAATTGAGAATTAATTAATTCAAGGGTTGAACATTAATTAGTTAAAAGTTAACAAATTACAATATTTTAGAATCCTTAAAAGATAAGGAGATATCGAAATTTAGAGTTATCCCACATGGGATTGGAGTTTCTTTTAGGGTAAGCATCTAAGACCTATAAATAGGATGCTAGGAATCACACCTTAGTTGCTCTTTCTTTGGCTAGAATTTTCACCAATCTCATTCTCTACCTCCCAGTGGACGACTTCCAAACTCTCTATAGGGTTTGAAGAAATCAATTCTTTCTCCTAGTTTTTCTTGATATGCCCTTGGTGTTCTTGGGTGTGAACCAAAAGAAGAATTCTATTTAGGTCCACTTCATCCAACAAGGTAGCAAAAAGAAGCTCTCAAACAAGGAGAACGTTGGCATCAAAAAAGGTATGTGCATTCTTTCTTTCTTGTAGTAGTAGTTATATTAATAATATGAAACTTAGATCATCTAGGTTGCATGAACACATAAGAATTTTATTATACTTTCTGTGGCATCCCCTATTTTCCAAAACCGAAAAAACTTTTGCTTTCAAATCATGTTGTCTTTGTTTGCAGAAATTCCTAATATATCAAAAAATTGTTAGTACATATGTTGTTTCAGAATAACAAAATCTTAAGGATGTTATAATCAATACATAACATGAGTTACACCGTAAAGACTTACCGGTTCTAAATACTATTGCAAGTTGTCTCTTAATCACTCAATATCCTAACCAAGATCCAGCAGCCTTAGCACTGCTACCTGTGATGCATATTATTTAAGTTGGTCGGGTTTGGACGCCTGGTGAGACACATAGGGTTTTCAACCCCATAATATTTTTATGATAATATATCATATATCAAAATCCTACAAAACCAATGCTACCAAACAATATAGATATATCATACAACATGGATATTTATAAGACACTATACCCTTAGTCATCGATTTTAACATATTGATCCTACGATGGATCAATATAAGCAACAAGTAAACTATATTGCTTTGGGGATTCGTTTGCAAGTGTAAGCTATTAAAGGCAATCGTGAGTGAGATATAGTACAAAAGAACTACAGGAATGACTACCTAACATACCCAACCCAATCGATTCTCACAAATCCTAATCAACAAACATTTAGAAGAATCATATTAGCCAATGAATCGTTTAAAGAAATAATATGACTACATTACTAGGGGAGTCCTTAACCGGTGTAAGTCATAAAGGCAACCCAAGCCTTAGAATATTTGATAATATGGTATCCTGTTTCATCTACGTTTGTGGGTTATAAGTCTATACTAACAACGTAATTCACAAGACTATCTAGAATAATAAAGTGTTGTTATTTTACTCTCGTAGATTACCATACATACCCCTCGGTTGTCTAATATAGACATACTATTTATGTATGTCTAGGAAGAGGAGGTCTACTACACTTCACTTTAAACTCACTTCTTATCCCCAAAATGAGACTACTCATTTATTCAAACATATCCCTAAATCCTAAACTTGTCCTAAAAGCTCAAATGTTTATGCATGGATGAATGGGAGTGACTAAGATCCCATTTTTATGACTCGCTAAGCTCAGAAATGATAAGAAAAACCACTCATGAGGTTTGGACTTGATCATACTCAATAGAACCGAGATTAAGGGACAAAAACTCATAAAATATCACAAATAGCTACATCTAACAAAATTATCAGCATGGTTTAGACTTTATACCTTCTAAAGGATGTTGAGGAAAAGAAAATTCAGGATCTATAAGCTTTGGATTTCCAAGTGTTCCTCAAAGGCCTCTTTCTTGAAAAAATTCACAAAAGATCACTCAATATGCTTCAAGGTCCTCACAAGGTGGATAGGGTTTTGTTGATGGTGTAAATGACGGTGGAAGATGAGTATGAGAAATATATCAAGGATATTAGGCCTTTAAATAGGTTTCATAAACCTCAATTAGGTGTTAGAGACTACGCTCCTACGCCCTGTGTACACAAGGTTATGCACTATGTAGGGGCATAAAACCCTCGCAATCATTTAATGGTCTACGCCCTAGTTGGGAGGCCTTCTACGCCCCATGTAGACGGACCATACTCAAAAAATATTATTATTAGGAATTAAAGATTGTATCTAGGAACTAGGCATTACAACTCTCCCCCATTTGAATTATACTTCGTCCTCAAAGTCCTTTGCTGCAAATATCTCTGTGTAATGCTACCTCATCTCCTCCCCAGCCTCCAACGTCCACTCTGAACTCTTCTGATGTTTCCATTGTACCTTAACTAAGCCCATCACCTTGTTGTGTAAGGTTTTCATCTTCCTATCAAGAATCTCAACCAATCTCTCCATATAGTTTAGGCGCTCATCCACCTGAATGTAATATAAGGGAACCACTACGGTGTCATCAGCTATACACTATCGTAACTGAGTCACATGGAAAGTGTTGTGGATTTGGCTGAGCCCATTAGGTAGATCCAGCCAACATGCTACCTCGCCTACCTGGGCGATAATCCTGAAGAGACCAATATAATGAGGGACCAACATCCGAAATCTGATGAGACATTTCCAAGGTGACACCTTCAGAAACACAAAATCCCCCACCTAAAACTTGAGGTCTGATCATCACTTGTTAGTATAACTCTTTTGGGGACTCTGTGTTGTCTACAAAAGACACCGCTCTTGCTGAATCAACTCGGTGGTCTTGAGTACTACCTCAGTACTTCCCATAACTCAATGTATGACCTC